ACCAGGGGTTGTCTTGAAAACAGGCCCGAAATGGCCTGTGCTAAAACCCTGGTTTGTTGCCTGAGTTTCAGGGCAGGTCGAACTGATGAGGGCCCCGAAATGGCCCTCAGTTTCAGGCTGAAAACACTCAGGGCCCGAAAGGCCCTGATTTAGCCTGAAACGACACAGGGCCTGTAGGCCCTTGTTTTTAGGCTTTCAGGCTGAAACGACACAGGGCCTGTACGGCCCTTGTTTTCAGGCTTTTGGCCTGAAAACGTCACGGGCGCAGCATCTAACACCAACAGTGGATCATCACAACTGAGGGTTTCTGCATAGCCTGTGCCTTTGCCCTAGCTGGCATCCTTTTTTCTTCTCTACCAGCCCTTCTGAATCTTCCCGAAATTTAAAGCCCAACTGCCTAAACCGTCACTCTGCAGTGACTCTTTCACCACCACCTTGCTCTGTCTCCAACATTGCATCACAGTCTCTGAATCATCAGCATGCAAGATTGGATGTGTTCATCATGTTTGCCGGTGAACATCGGGGGGGCACGCGCATGCATGTGCGCGGGCTAAAAAAATAAAGAGAGACTGCATGTCAGTGCACGATCATCCCTCCGGTGCTAAGGTTAATGCTCAGAAACAGTGACTCAGCACACAGAAATCAACCAGTCTCCCCAGGGTTCTAGCATAGCCCATGGCTTTGCCTTTGTGGGTGTCCTTCCTCTGCATACTCTCTCTCCCCCTTCTCCACCAGCCCTATAACCGCGTTGAGTCTTCCCCAAACGCCCAAGTTCCTAAATCCTATATTCCGCTGTGACTCCCACTTGGGGGTGAAGATGTGACCTAATGACAGCTGCCATCAGTTTGGAATAACCCCAACTTGAAGATGAATACTGAGGCTCACAGGAACGAGTCATCACACAACAAGTGCAATCTCCCACCAAATGTGGACGCCTGAATCTGGACGTGTTTGTGGAGACGTGCACGAAATCGCAATTGATCTGCTCTTCTGCATCTCTTTGTAAAACACGTCCAGATTCCTTTTTGAAGTTGCTGGCAGCTAACTTGCAGAACGCTAACCAGCAACTGCAATCTCCCACCATGAATTACAAAAGCACACGCATTGAACCCTAGTAGCCTACACTCACTAACTGTGCCATCTGACATCTGTCATGTGGCTTGTTTGGTTCACCAATTGGACGACAACCTCCATTGTCTGCCGTTATTCATCCTACTACTTGAAGAGCTTCTGCACGAACTTTCTTACAACGTGTATGACGGTGCTGTCTGGACTCTGGATCTCTTCACAAAAATGAATTTATCTTGCACACACTTTGCATTTTCCTTCTTTCGTCAACTCTTCTATATGTATTTCTCTCATCTTCCTCCGAAATTTCTCACATTCTCAGCCATTCACAATATCTGTCATAAATTCTCATAACACCAATACACTGAGTCCCTCTAAGTGGCATGCAATACACAAACTGCTTCCACATTTCTGGTTGTTATGTGAGCAAGGGGCTCAAGTTGCAGACATATCCGCAATCTCTTCATGAATCATGAGCATCTCAGCATCATCATCAATTAATGTTCATCTCTTCTTCTTTACATCAAGAAATCAAGAAAAAGCATCGCTCGGCACCACTTCCAAATGACGGCTACCGTCTTCACCCAAATAGAACGCCCGGTAATTATCGCCATATCTGGGCTGAAAGTTGTGCCAAATACAGTACAGCTATAATGACCGGGCGTTCTATTCGGGGTGAAGACGTAGTGAAAGTGTGAAAAAGGAAACACAAACTGCAACGAAAAGTTGTCTTCCCTGCAACTTTTTTCTTTTTTTTTTTGTAAAGGGTGACAGTCTTCAGATATTATCATCGAACTGACAGGCCCTTGGTAATTCAGAACTACTGCAGAAAGTCTTTCACTCATCTTCTTCCAGTGGAGTTCGGACCCGGGTCTGTATTCCAATAGTTATTAAGCAGTGTACCACTGCTTCCAGTGGAGTTCGAACCCGGGTCTGTATATTTGTGCTCAGAAGAATTCATCAAAAGGTCTGCAAATTTGAGGGTCTGTAGATTAGGTCGTGATCTTTCAGGGAAAAATATCAGGAAAAAAATATAAATTCATTTTGACCTTCAAATATTTGCCGCACCGAGTTTGTGCATTTTTGCAAATTCCATTTTTTCAGGCCCGACCAGTTTTCCACTCTGTACTACCGGTACCCCTGAAATTTCTGACGTCAGGGGGACTACCGGTACCCCCGAGGTTTCTGACGTCAGGGGGTTCAGGCCCGACCAGTTTTCGACTCTGTACTACTGCTACCCCTGAAATTTCTGACGTCAGGGGGACTACCGGTGCCCCTGAGGTTTCTGACGTCAGGGGGACCGGTAGTGCACCAGCTGATGAGGTAGGCCAGTTGGTTCAGCCCTGCAACTTTGTTTGGGTGAAAACTGAAAATTCAAATTATCAATCTTAGTGCAGGTTCGTCCCTGTCTCACGGCACGAAGGAGAAATGTTCTACCTTTACCAAAACATAGCCACACCTGCTCCAAACCACTGGGCCACATACCAACCCGATCCAACACCCCTGCACACCTGCACATCGCCCATTGCCGCCCTTTGTCTCCATCTCTCCCCACCCTCTACCTCCCCCACCTTGTCGTTCTCCTCCTCCTCTCCCTCTCTTCCTCCTCCTCACCCTCTATCTCCACTCATCCCCGTCAACCTTGCCCTAGCTCTCCTTGTCGTCCTCCTTTGTTTTCTTCTTCTTCTTCTTCTTCGTCGTTGTCATCGTCGTCACCGTCGCCTTCGTTGTCAGTGTCCTCCTCATCATCATCGTCATCTTCTTCATCATCTCCGTAATGGTGTTCGTTTACTTCGCCTTCCACTTCTTATTTGGTGTGTTTGTATGCGTGAGAACAAGACTGCACATTCGCACATGCGAACATGCGAACACCCGTGCAAACGTTCTTGAGCATGTATGTGCACATTCACACAAGTTCTTATGAATGTGAACACGTGTGTCACCAGCAAGTGTGAAAATCAGAAAGTCCTTATATATGGGAACACACGCATAACACCAGCATGTGTCCAAACACTTGGGCACATGCAAACCTAAAAACACACGTTAGCAACACTGCCACACTCATGTGTGGGACCATTGATGTGTGTGTGAACATTTGCACGTGCGAACAAAACTATACGTGTATTTCCTATTTTTATCCTGCTCTTTCTTTCTTAGACTCACACACACACACACACACACACACACACACACACACGCACACGCACCCACCTTGCAGTCCAGCAAGGCTTCATGGAATCCCGACACACGTTTACGTGCTGGCAATTGATTGGCTGCAATAGCATTTGATTGGCTGCAATAGCATTTGATTGGCTGCAATAGCATTTGATTGGAAGCTTTACTCAGACTTGAAACTGAACACATGACACAGAAATTCTTATATCCATATTGGTAGCTGCCCAGATTACAGAACATCAAACGGATCGAAAATGGTGCAGTAGCTTGCCAGAACTGTCCGGATATGGCTGTGCCCAATCTCCGCGCTATTAGCACTAAAAATATCCTCCTCCCTAACAGCTCAAGAATAACTTGCGGAATGAAGAATTTGCCCGCTATGGCGGTTTCTATCCTAGGGGTCCAACTGAACTCTAGATCTACTGACCAGCAAGGGGGACCACCCTAACCTTGGCCTACAGGGAAACTGCCTACAGGTCTAGGGTTCGAATCTTGCTTTGAACAACAGCAAAACACTCAAATTCAAAAGAGACTTGGGGCAAGTGTCGGCGTGGTACCCTGTCTGTCCCTGATTGGTCATTACTTGTACTTTGCCTTGGGCACTGGGCCCTTTTCTTCATAAAAAAAAAAAGAAAAAAGAAAAAAAAGAGAGGCTGCACCGCAGGGACTAGACGCAACCAGCCAATCAAAGCAGCGGATGGATAGCAGATGCCCCACCGTTGATTTTTTTTATTTTTTTTTTGGGACAATTTCTCGATTTACGCGTGTCCTTTTTTGGGGGACATCAACTTGGAACGATATAATCGAGATATGGTCCCGCCTTTTTTTTTTTTTTTTTTTTTTTTTTTTTTTTTTTTTTTTTTTTTTTTTTTTTTTTTTTTTTTTTTTTTTTTTTTTTTTTTTAAGAAAGGCTCCCGCCGCTGATTTCTCTCGGGTTGGTTTTCTGTGTCATAATAGAAATTCAATAGGTTACATTATAGGTAATTGTACTAAGTAACTGTAATTACAGCAAGTGGCTATTAGCCAGGCTGCACGGCAGGGCCTACCCGCAATCAGCCAATCAAGCAGGCGGATGGATAGCTGATACCCCACCGATGATTGATTTTTTAATCTTTTTTTATTTTTAGTTTTTTAAGTTTGTTTTCTGCTTGATACCAAAGTCAATCAGTTAAGAGTAATTTTCTATTTGGCAAGGCTGAGGGGCAGGGAGTGCGCGCAATCAACCAGTCCAGCACCGGATTGTGGGAGAGGGGATGAGAAAGCCTCCCGAGGGCATACTCACACCGGCTCACGTCACTTTACTCGTTGATAACTTAAATGTATCTGACAGCAGTTACGGCCACATATGAATGCATCTGACCGCAATTACGACGATAAAAGAAGTGAAAAAGTCCTGGTGTGAGGATGCCCTGACTGGCGGTAACTACCCCAACCTTCTTCCCTCGAATACAACGTACTGTCATTATCGCTGTATCTGGGGTATCTTTCAGTCTAAATACAGTTATAATGACCGTATCCACCCCTATACGCTGCAAACCTTCTTCCCTCGAATACAACGTACGGTCATTATGGCTGTATCTGGGGTATCTTTCAGTCTAAATACAGCTATAATGACCTTAGGTTGTATTCCAGGGAAGAAGGTGCGCAGATCCGCACGTGTCGCTGACACACAGTCCTTTGACGATGGCTTACCAGGCTAGGCCAGGCTTCAGCTCGACTCCCATCCGAGATTCTATCTTCCATTAAGAATGCGACAGTCACGTGGCCACTTTGAGAAGAAATCAAGGAGCGCCACGTGTCATCTTCTGCACGTGGACTGATTGGCTACGAGTCGGATGATCGCTGATCCATTGCCCTGCGCTGGGTGCGGCGACCGGCTGCGCACTGATCTGGAGAATCCTGGCCGCTTCCAAACCTAGTGGGGAGTCCTAGCCTCTTTACTGGTCAAGCGGACCTTGGCTGCTCACTGATTTGACGGATGAGGGCTCCTCACTGATCTTGCTCCTCGGGCTAAGTGCAACTACCGTCTTCACCCGAATAGAACGCCCCAGTAATCATTGCCGTATCTGGACTGAAAGTTGAACCAAAAACAGCTATAATGGCCGGGAGTTCTATTCGGATAAAGAAGGTAGCGTAGGGACGGGTTCTCGCCATCCGATCTCAACATCTCGGGACCCCGCGCTGACCAGGTTGAAAAATACTCGCAAGGGAGACTAAGGGCCAGATCCCACTAGCCCCTATTGTTCATTTCTGACCGTTGATCTTCGTAACCAGGGTGAAAAATGAATAATCCAGGGTAGTGGGGACCCTAAACCCCTGCTTCCAAATTCCCCGAATAGAACGTACCCGAATTACCCCTGTATCCACACTGAAAGTTGGCCCAAACATAAATACAGCTCTTATGAGGGTGCGTTCAGTTCGCAGCCCCTCAGGGGTGCGTTTTCCCCCCCTGAGACATTTCCCCCCGAGACATTCCTTTGGTCGTTGGAAGGTTTGAAAAATGCCGGCAGGTGCAGGCAGGACACTTTGGGGGGAGGTGGCAGTTTCTTTGAAAAATGCGGGACCAGTAGCTGCCCATGGGACCGTGTGCTGGGTTTTGGTCGCGACGGTGGCAAAGCAGCGGCAGGGTGGATCTTTGGGGGGGCGGTGCCAGTTTCTATGAAAAATGCGGGACCGGTAGCAGCCCGTGGGACCGCGCGCTGGGTTTCAGTCGAAACGATGGCAAAGCAGTGGCAGGGCAGAAAAGTGGAAAAGTCTGAATCGGAAAGGGCAGCACTGAGCAAGACAGTGTTGAAAAACCTTGGAAGGTTTTGTTAGGGATTTCGCAGTTTTTGGGGCATTTGTAGGACTTCTGCAGTCTATTCCCATGCCTCCCGAATTATTGACTTACGGTGAGGGCACGGGTGCACAGCCCGTAGTTCGTTTGTTTATGTGGTTCGGGAAGGGTAAGGTAGTGATTATGCTGTATGTATGTTTTGTCATGTTCACTATACACAACTCGAAGAGTGTGTGTGTGTGGGGTCCCGGTTGGTGCTTTATTCACAATGTTCATGGGACGCTGGACCCAGTTTCCAGCAGGTGGCACTTCCCATCAATAGACACGAGAATGTATGTGTGTGTGTGTGTGTGTGTGTGTGTGTGATACCAAACACATAGCGCACACGTATTACGCTGGCTTCACCAAAAAATCACTCCGCAATGGATCATGTGTAACGCTGTACTGCGTTATGCACATCGCCATTCCCTCTCACCGTACTGCTGGTACTTAACGTTGATGATGCCGACACATTGCCGCGACTACGCCTCAGGCAAGCCCACGATTCCCACCTCGAGACAATCAGGATACCAGCAGACCAGGAGCCATTGCCTGGAGTAGGAAATTTTCCTTACGCAGGCGATAGCACCGGCCGCTGGAAGAGGATTCTACCAATGTTCAGAAGATGTATATATAGGCCCTTTTCGGTGGGTGATATTCTCAATTTGGTGCGACAAGCAGGTATCAGAACAGAATCCCTCAGGGGAGGGACCGGAAAAAGAAATTTTACCCTTACCCATCGTCAGATCAATACCTTCAAATAAAAGGGAGGCCCTGCTGTTCCACGCATAATCGTGTTCCGATGGTAAAAATCCCCCGAAATAAACCGAAAGGTACCCCTAGCAATTTTTCCTTTCGGTTTATGTCTGAGGCCAGACTCATACAACCGAATGAATTTATGGGTACGCATGTGTGTGTGTGCCCCACCCCTGTCCTCGCTAGAGGTAGGCTTGCTATGGCAGGTAGCGGGTACCTGCCATAAGCAAGGTACCAACTAGCTACCATAGCAGCCCTTCCGGTTAGGGGCATGACTATAACACACAGTACAATCACAGACATACAGACACGCTCATTCCATGGGTTGCATATTACGTGCGTAGGTGATACCATCGGTATGTGAGATTTACCTTGAGGATCAAGCCTGTTTCCACGACGTCGACCCTGGGAGGGAGGAAAAGCTGAGGATTGTTAAGGACTCTATTCACACAAGCCATGTATCTGTGCCTGAGAAAACCGTTTCCAACCATATACTCCACAATTCTCATGATCTCCTGGGCTGCGTTCACTGGATCTGAACAAATGACAAGCACCTTTGCAACCTGAGCAACGATGATGTTCAGGGATTGCTGCACGTGCCTATTCGATTGGTACTTCACATACCTCACAACCGGGAAAGGGAGGGTGAGCCTCTTGTCATACTTACTTGTCATATACTCACATGTCTCACAGGAGAGGACCGTGATCTCAGCATCCAGGAACTGAGACTTGAGGCCATATATCTCCCCATCCGGTCCTAGTGTGAACACTTCCGTCTGGTTCTTTATCTCGATCAGGTGTAGTGGGTATATGAAATACGGGTTCGTGGGTACCCTTGGGCTGCTGGGGTCAAGAAACTTGAGGATAGCCGGGTTGTTTACTCCATGCAGGTCGTCAATTTACCTGAGCGTGTTTTTAAACAGCGGAAGGAGGTGGTATGCCTCTAAATCGATCAACCTCATAACAAGCTGGTGCTCGTACTTAAAGAAGTACAAAGTGCAGCAAACGGGGGAGCACGGAAGGCCCATGGGGATACCACGGGTCTGCTTCCATATCTTTCCTCCAAACATAGTAACGCACCTTGCAAGTAGCCAAGAAGTGATTCGGCTAACCTCGCTCATCTCCACATAAAAAACACCCTCACTCTGCGTCCGTTGACGCTTAACAGTAGAGCACGTAAACTCCTTGTTTGACTTCCTCCTGCACTTGATGGTAGTACCAATACCTTTGTCATGCGTGTACCTGGCTGCTAGGTTGATAAAATACTCAACCGCGTTCGGCAGTCCATCACTACTATCATCAATGGGTATTGTCTCGAAACACTTGGAGATATCCGCAGATAACACAGAATAGACTCTCTCTGGTAAGTTCCAACAGTATTCCTGCACAGACTCAATAGACCACCACATGGATGTCTCGATATTGTGAAATCTGGATAACACATCGGTGGTAACCTTGCATGCCGCCATTACCAAAGGGGTCATGCATTTCAGCATAGCATCACATAGAGCAGCCACGGGGGTAAGAAAAGTAAACGACGCACTGGTAAGCCATCTGAATGCGAGTTTGTGGTGTTTATACAACGCCATCAGATACGGAAGCTTCCGTGGTCCAATATCCATAAAGGGCAACAGCATTGACAGGGTGCTCTGTGCATCATCCAGTACTTCCCCTGGTGAAAGAAGGCATTGTTCAAAATCACTAGATAATAATCGTTCATGAGCCAGGTGAACACATACAAATGATGGGGTGTTACCAGCCTTGTCAGTACCCGCTATGAATAGTCTATTAGTCAGGAAGGTCACCTCACTGGTTACATCCGCCCGTTGGGCGTCACATGGGGGGTCCCTGCACCTTCTCAGAGAAGGGATGGATAATCGCTGCTTAAGCTGGTCAGATATGTGTTGGTCAGCATACCTGATTGCGTCCTGCCTAAGCAAGCCTTTCGCCACGATGAACGATTTAATCATGTCCCATGCCTTCTTATATTCATAAAGGGCAGGGGACACAGCCCTGGGTTGAGGCGGGATATGGTTGAGTCCCTGCTCCAATAATCCCCTCAATACCGGGTTAGACGAGATTGAAGGATCCAAGGACAGGGTGTGTGTGGACGCAGCACAGAACGGCTGGCACATTGCATTAGTGCAGGGATGATGAAAAGGTAAGAACCTGCGGGTATTACAAGGGCAATGCGACCTTCCCGAACAGAATTTCAACCATTCATCAAGGGAAAAATCACGAAAAACCATCGCAGGCCTATAAACCATTGATTGATGGTGTCCATGTACGTCCACCCAATGACCACAAGTGCCAATCAGGAAAAAAACGTTCCACAGTCTTTTCAAGGATAGAGCGGAAGTTGACTGTGTCCATGATACGACTGACGTATCTAATGTGGACAAAGCATTCCATTCGTTCCGGCTCCAGTCTCTGCCATTTCCTTCTTCCTGACGGGTCGGTTACAAATGAACCCTCGCCACCCTGCCAAATCACACCACACACAGAGCGACAAAGCAGGAGGTGAGTGACACACCGTTTTCAGGACTTAAAGAGGCTCTTTGCCATAGTGAGGCCTCTGGGGCTCCTCCTTGGGGCTGTGCTGCTAGCCGAAGTCTGCCCATCCGCCTGCGTAGATACGCATGAGCTGGGTGGGGTGTCATCCATTGCTGGCGCTCCAGGTGTCATTACCGGAGAGTGGTCATGCTGAGGTCTGACATAAAACGACAAGGTAGTCTGCTTCGCACGCTTTGCGGTTCCTGCCTCATTATCAGCCTCCGTGGACCTCCTCTTCCTCCTGGTTGCCTCAGTAACAAATCTGGGGGGGAGCATCAACTGGGCCATGGTGCGGGTGAACTTGTGCATCATTACAGACCTATCATCCAAAATGTTATCAGGCCTTCGGGTCGGATCAGAAAGGACATTGACCGCCATCATTTCCATGATTTCCCTCATGTAATAGAATACAACACTAGCCAACACAGCAGCACGCCATCTGCCCTTCACTATAACCCGGAACGCCCTAATACGTGCCCTCAGTGTGGGGGCGGCGGGAAACAGGTACTCAAGATTGGCCAGCAAGAACCAGAAGATATGGTCCAGCCAAGTGATGTTCTTCTTGCAATCTCCCTTACCCTCCTGAACACAGCGGCACTTCAGATAAGGCCGTCCTACATTCCATATACGCTTCAGCTCTACCATAGCAGGCTGCCCCTTGGCAGCCAAAAATCCCCTGACAGCGAGTGCAGGTCTAGTGACCACATATTTGGTTCGGTCGATCTCCCCGACAAGTGGAAGGTTCATGTCGTTCGCAGTAAGAGGGTAATTCCCCCTGATGAGTTCAATGTTCTCAGACAAGGATCTCTCCTTGCAGAGTCTCATCTCCTCATGTGTGAGGCTGGCGAGGAACTGATAGGATTTCTCATTGATTGGGGCGGAGTGGTTGTACGTCGCCATATCCCATAACTTATAATCCAGTCTTACCGATTCTGACTCCAGCCATCTGCTAGGCGCTAACGGTAGGAAGGCGTTCCTAGTGTACCTATTGACCTCTGATCTCTGGTTCTCCTCTACTGCCTTCGCCATATCAACCCTGCTTGTTGCCATGAGCTGCGTGTGGAACGCCTTCTCCTCCTCGGTTAGTATGAGACCCTCATCCTCCTCCTCCTCATCAGACCTCGAAGCATCAACTTCGTTCCGACTATCAGCAGAAATGAGACCAGCATGAAACGCAGGCTTCGCACCCCATAGTTCAACAAGGGACTTCTCCCTCACAGCGAGCTCGTTACGGATAGCAACCTCTATCAGCAGATCCTCCTGCTGCTTCTCTCGGGCATGCATGACGAGACTCTTTGTGAGCGCAGGGAAAGCAGGCTTATCATGGGCAGCTGTCCAAAGGAGGGAAGTCCAGTCATCGAATGATAACACGGAAATGAGAGGTGGGGTGTGTCGGGGGAGATTAAGCGAATGGATCTTTACAAATTCCAAGACCTTGGGAGGGGACAGGGAAATCACGGCCTGGGTGGGGCGGGATGGGGGAGGGAATGCTTCAAGCCAAGCGCCGTCTCCTTTAAGCAGCTCCTTGTACCATCCATTGGTTGCAAGCAAAGAGGCCTGAAAACATAATTCCCAATGCATGTGACAGGGCGGCATCAAGGATTAGCCCCTATCGACCACAGGTAAGCATAACCAGATAACAATGTCCCACCATTATCCACCAGTGATGGTGCTACGGGCCAAACATTGTGCAATCTATAGGGTTGCCCAAGCATACCATTGACAACCGCAAGGCAGGGAGGGATCGGACATCCCTGCAGAAAAACGAGAGGGCACAAAAGGCCCCTCTGCGTGTGTCGAGCCAAACAGAACCCCGCAAATGCGGCGAGCGGTGTAACAAGATATGCATACACGATTGCCCCAAGCATAGGTTGCATCAATTCCGCACAGAACAATCCATACACAGTGTGATAATAAGGACACTCATAAGTGAAATAAGATGAACACAAGGTCGGGTCAATGGGCAAATAGACATTCCGTACGACGTCCGTTCAACAGGGAAAGTACTAGGCAATCAATCCCACAGGGTCCTTGGTACAAACAGCTCGAGGAGGCAGGGAAAACAAACTGGCATAAATCATGCACGAGTACAATCCCATCAATATTCGAGTTGGCACTTATTAACAGTTTTAACGGATCCAAAACATCATTCCCCACACTTCACATCTCATTGTCCATTAGCAGCAAAGAACACCACACTACATATTCTAACCCTACTTCCGATCACCAATCCTGTCATGAAAGAGACAAATACTACTACATGCATTCCGACTAGGTACGGTATCCAGGAATCCATCACCGCCTTCAGAGCTCCATGCTCTTGATCAGTCACATGGCAGACAGAGCCGAAATCCGGGAAAATGACCGTCTTCCATGAGAAAGGCCAGAGCAGACCAGTCGCACAGAAAAACAGACAAGCGAGAGCACCCGCAAAAAAGTGCCATCCTACGATTACGATTGCCATTGTGATTGCTGATTGGAAGAGAAAACACACTATCTTCAATCCTCAATATGCAATAAGACACCGATGATCACGCAATCCTTGTGTCAGCAGCAGCTCTCCTCCCCACGCAATCCCCTTATGTGTTTATAGCACTTGACTACGAACTCCCATTACGTAGGTAGGAAGAAACCGACACACAAATCAACTCCGATCTGGCCATTACACCCTAAACCATCACCAGCACAGTGTTGGTATCATCGACCCCATACCCGAAACACCATTGCCAAGAATCATGTCACGATTTCTCGAGAGCGCCCACTCAGATTAGAGATAGATAGATAGAGAGAGAGAGGGATAGAGAGAAAGAGGCTACCCATGCATACACCACAACCCCATCACACATCCCCTTGCCGTAGCAGCGAACCTCCCACTTGCACCGAAGAGTAACCAGTATGCGATCCCGCGAAAATGCTCGACTATGATGCATTCGCACAACACAGCCCTACCATGCATCCCCTTGCCGTAGTAGTGAACCTCCCACTTGCATCAAACAGTAACCAGTACGCTATCAGGCGAGATTGCTCAACTATACTGCAGCCGGAAATACACCTCACAGCTCCTCCCATCCTTATCATCCCAAACAAAACACATATACAGGACTGCGCTTCATGCTTTGCAGAATCTTGGCGCAGGGGTAGAGCAATTCAACAACTCTGCTCGAAGGGTGTGATAGCAGCAACCGCGATGTTCGAGTAACGCCAGCATCGACAAGAACGATAGGTAAGCAATAATGGCCAGCACCAAGCATATGGATAACCACGCAGACTCCATGTTTCGTCAGCTAATGACTCGTATTCGCCCTTAATGCTCGACTTCCTCCTTCTGGAAAACAAGATCCCATATCTCACCACAACACAAGAACAGATATACGCAAATCACCACGCACAATACGCCATTCACATACACACTTACACATCCTCCTTACCCCACACGCATATGCATACCCACCTACACGCGGACTCGCACATACACACAGATACACATACATCCACGCAGATTCATCAACGTTAAATCCACACACAACATTCATTCGGGTGGGGGGTACACGAATTAAGACTTAGATTCCCCCATTCAGCCGCGCGACCCTCAATAGTCGACATTTGGAGGGAGGGTAGTGGTCAATTCCCTAAAGTACTTTTCACCGGTACCACCAAACTGGCTCATCAGAGGGGCAAACCATCTCCAATATGCTCCGAAGGGGGAAAAAAAACTTGAAAGAGATTGGCCCATATACAGAACCTATCACATTCCGACGATTCAGAAATTACAAAGAGGGCATTGGGGAATGAATACAAGAAAAAGGCCCAGAGAAGCACTCATTCATTACCGTGACGGCATCCATGATAAGGACACCCTGAACGAAGCAGCCCAAGAGTTCGCCGCGCTTCCCTTTCCCTCGCGATGCCAAAATCACTCCTGTGGTACTTCACAGTATCTATCCTGTTGGTCTGCGTTCCGCACGTACCCGCTTTAATGCCAAAGTTCCATCCGTACTCACGTGTGCTATTTCCTCAACACTCATCACCACTCCTCAAGCTGCCACCCCACGAGCCATGTCCATGCCAATCACCCCCTTTCCACACCCTCCTCGTCGCTTCCACTGCTACTCCCGCAAGTCTCCCATCACCTTCTCATCAGGTGAGTCATTGCCTGGACACACGCCCATTCATCGCCCTCCTATGTACCAATGTCAGGGCGCCAAACACATAGCGCACACGTATTACGCTGGCTTCACCAAAAAATCACTCCGCAATGGATC